TGCTCCTTCCTCCTCAGGGGGAGGACTCCTCACACTCTTCCCCTGCTCCAGCGTGGGGTCCCTCCCACGGGAGACAGTCCTCCATGGACTTCTCCAACATGAGTCCTTCCCACGGGCTGCAGCTCTTCACGAACTGCTCCAGCGTGGGTCCCTCCCACGGGGTGCAGCCCTTCAGGAACAGGCTGCTCCAGCGTGGGTCCCCCACGGGGTCACAGCTCCTGCCAGCAAACCTGCTCCAGCGTGGGCTCCTCTCTCCACGGGTCCTGCCAGGAGCCTGCTCCAGCGTGGGCTTCCCACAGGGTCACAACCTCCTTTGGGTGCATCCCCCCGCTCCAGCGTGGGGTCCTCCATGCAGGCTCCACTGTGGACCCCGATGGGCTGCAGGGGCACAGCCTGCCTTACCGTGGTCTTCACCAGGGGCTGCAGGGGAACCTCTGCTCCGGTGCCTGGAGCACCTCCTTCCCCCTCCTCCTTCACTGACCTTGGGTTCTGCAGAGTTGTTTCTCTCACATAGTCTCACTCCTCCCTTCAGCTACAGTTGCACAGTTTTTTTTCCCCCTTCTTAAATATGTTATCCCAGAGGCACTGCAACCGTTGCTGATGGGCTCAGCCTGGAGCTGGCTGGCATTGACTCTACTGGACATGGGAGAAGCTTCTAGCAGCTTCTCACAGAAGCCACCCCTGCAGCAGCTCCCACTACCAAAATCTTGCCACACAAACCCAATACATTCCACCCCTCGCCTCTGTCAATCACATATTTAAGAATTATCATTAAAATCCACATTCATCACACAGTCTTCAGAAACTTCACTCACATCAACAAAAAAAAAGAATTCCCCACGCCAAAATCAAAACAACATCATCACAACACCAAACAAAAGTGGACAATTTACGCACAATCCACCCCTTGTCCTTCACCACAATTACAACAGAAAATTCCCCACAATTATTCCACTCTCTAACATCATTCCATCCGTGTTTTGCCTGTAGCCTCTCCCAATTACTATCCTTATCTCTAAGTCCTTTGGCCCTACATTGGGTGGTCCAAAAAGGACTATGGTAGGTTGACCTTGGCTGGATGTCATGTGCCCTCCAAGCCACTGTCACTTCCCTCCTCAGCAGAACAGCGAGAGGAGAAAATAAGATGGAATAAAGCCTCATTGGTCAAGATAAAGGCAGTTTAATAAAGTAAAAGCAAAGATCATGTGCAGAAGCAAAGGAAAACATCAAGATTTTAATTCTCTACTTCCCATCAGCTGTCTGATGCCTGGCCACTTCCCAGGAAGAAGGGATTCAGTAGGTGTAATGGTTGCTCTGGAAGACAAATGTCGTAAATAATCAATGTCTCCCTTCCTTCTCTTTTCTCTTAGCTGTTATTGCACAGCAGATATCATATAATATGGAATATTCCTTTGGTCAGTTTGGGCCAGCTGTCCTGGCTATGTACCCTCCCAAGATCTTGCTGGGAGGGGAGGGCAGGGAACACTGGAGAGACTGGGCTGTTGTCAACACCTTTCTAGCTACCAACACAAAGCACAGGGCTATGAGGGCTGCTGTGGGGAAAATTAACTCCACCTCAGCCAGAGCCAGTACACCCGTGCATGTGTGAGTGCTGTCCCCAGGGGCACCCTTGGGGAGATGTGCTCACTGTGTCAGGAGCTGGAGAGCCTTCCCAGGTGTCACACTTTCGTGCTACACAACAATAGAGCAGGTTTTCCTCACAGAGGATACAGCTGAGTGGTCCAAGCACTCTCATGTGCAATTCACTTTGCCAGCAGGTCTTTTCCCCCTAAAAACTCCATTTGATTCTTGAGAATTGTTTTCAGTGAAGCTTGTCTGATGGTGTCCATCACTGATATCTTGGGTGGGACCGCTACCAGCTCCCAAGAGCATGTGTCCTCTCATCCTCGTCAGGCTTAGGGGTAAGCATGTCAGTTCCTGATGGCAAAACTCCTGTTAGCTTCAACAGGACAGCATCAGGCCTTTTGCATCTTCTGCTGCACTGGTTTTCAGCCAGCACCACCAGGCTGCAGTGATTAGCCCATCTCTAAAACCAATGAAGAGAGACTGTGTGTGGCTGATGGCAACACTACAACCTCTTCACCTCACCTAGCTGGATGCAGGGGAAAACAAAACAAAACAAAACAAAAAACAACAGAAAAAGGTTGTGCAAGTCTGAATTTGGCCACCTATCTCCTCAGACACAACATTTGTTTCTGTGCAAGCAAGAAGAAAATGGGTCACTAACACACAGCTCTGCTGCTCAGCATCTGGACCCCGGATTCTCCTCTGTGGCGCTAAATGTGTCCCTGGCAAACAGAAGGTTGAGATTTTAAATGAGGAATTAATGAAAAATGCACTCTTTTCCTGACTGTTGTCCCTTTAAATTCAGTTTCCATGGAAACGGGTCTGGAGAGGCTGCCTGGAGGGAACCAGGAGAGATCTCTGCCTGGCCGCCTTTCCCTCTGGGTTGTCAGCTGAGCCACCCCAATTGCCAGGCTTTTACAGAGGTTTTTGCTATTGCCACTTATGCCTGGAACAGGAGCAATGGCTCCTCGTGGGTTCCTTCCCGAGGTCATCAACCATGCTGCTGTCACCTGCAGCCAGGCTGCTTGCAAGTGGAGCTCCTTTCCTTCCATCGCCCCTCCGGCGGAGTGCTCGCTCGTCTGAACCCACCACGATGCTGCCTTGCTGAAACTGTCACTCCTGTTAGAAACATCCATTCCACCGCGTTTTTTTTTATTTTTATTTTTAAAAGTGGTGGCAGGTGTGATCTGAGCATGCAGACTGAGCTGGGACTGGCGGCAGAGGGATAACTTTGTTGTTAATTCGATGCTTACCCTAGGGGAAGATTTGAGATCCCACCCGGAGTACCGCATCCAGCTCTGGGATCCACAGCAGAAGACAGGCTTGGACCTGTTGGAGTGGGTCCAGAGGAGGGACATGAAAATGGTCGGAGGGCTGGAACACCTCTCCTATGTAGGAAGGCAGAGAGAGTTAGGGTTGTTCAGCCTAGAGAAGAGATGGCTCCACTAAGACCTTACTACAGCCTTTCAGTACTTAAAGAGGCCTTATAAGAAAGATGAGGACAGACTTTTTAGTAGGGCCTGTAGTGACAGGACAAGGGGCAATTGTTTTAAACTGAAAGAGGGTAGGTTTAGATTGGACATAAGGAAGAAATTTTTTTACGATGAGGATGGTGAGACCCTGGCACAGGTTGCCCAGAGAAGTTGTGGATGCCCCGTCACTGGAAGTGTTCAAGGCCAGGTTGGACGGGGCTTTCAGCAGCCTGGTGTAGTGGAAGATGTCCCTGCCCATGCCAGGAGGGTTGGACTAGATGATCTTTAAAGATCCCTTCCAACCCAACCCATTCTGTGATTCTAGGAAAATTGTATCACTGAGCCCCTTATTTCTGCCAGACTCATCACCAAGCTGTTTTACAGCAGGGTGGGGAACAGCATGTGTCCTCCAAAAATGGCCTGAGAGCTTTTGGCTGTGGCCAAGGGTGCAGTGTTTCTTGGACTCATGCTGGAGGATTGTGCTGGGTACAGAGATTGAGGTGGGATATGGCTGCATCCATACCTTCTTGGATATCCAGCCGTAACTCTGGGCTTCTCTTAGAAGGAATTATCTGGCTTGTTCTCATAGAGACACCGGGAACAAACTGTCCTATGTACAGCACAGAGAATCAGTGGAGTAAGACCTAAAAGCAAACTGTAAAGTGATGGTGTTTTTCTGTATAGATCCACCCTTTTTCCAGGTGAACAAAACCCAAGGGTCTTAAACCTCTAATAGCTGGGGGTCGCACAGTCCTGGCCATGGTGGCTGTTTTTACTGCTGTTGAGATGCATCTGCTTCCATTTTTGTTAGGATTTGAGGAGATGCCTCTGGTGTGTTTGTGAAAGGCTGTCTTACTGACATCTGAATTTTTAGTGGAATCTGACCAGCAGTATAAACTCCATCCATGCTCCCAGCTGAGTTCTGCAGACAAATACAGTTCCATTGTAAAATTAAAAGAATTTTTTAAATGTAATCAATCCTAATCAGAATAGTTTTGTTTTTTTTTTTTTTCTTTTGCTTCAGATATGCATAAAAGCATTGCCCTCCTTGGTTACTTAGATGCTTGCCTATAATTAGAAAGACAATCATATCTGAGGTGTAATACTGAGATTGTTTTCTGCAAGCCAGATGAGCAATGTCTTGCATATAGTGCCAGAAATATTCTCTGCTTGCTGCTTGTGCAGTCTCAGATGGAATATGATCTTCACAGCTGTGCAACCAGACTTCAAGGAGGATGCAAACCCGTACTGCGGAGAATTCAGAGAGCAACAGGCATGACCAGAGGTCTAGAATCTACGATTTATGAGACAAAATTGAACAAACTGAGGTTGTTTAGTGTAAGTGGGGACAAACCAAAGGGATACATCCCAGTGAAGGGATAAAGTAGAACTGCAGAGAGGAAGGTAATAAAATGCTTTCCATCTCTACAATGGATCGAAGAGAAAAAATGAGCTTAAACTGCAACAACAGAAACAGTCTAGACGTTAGGAAAACTTTCACAGAAATAGGGTCAGAGTCATAAAATAGAGACTTTGAGAGGTTATCTAAGCCCAATACCTCGTCTCAAAGCAAAACTGGCAGATGCTTTCTGTCTCCTGGCTTAAGACATTTTCAGTGCCCAGGACACCATCCCATCTCCAGACAGCCTGTTCCAATGCTTCACTGTGAGTTCCCTTTGCGGAAAACTGAGCTTAATTCTTCACTTTTTATCCACGGTAAACGATTCACCCGCCCTTTTTCCCCTCACTTTTGTTACATTTGGGCACACTGTGATGCTTCGACCCCTTTCCTCAGAGCTGCTCCCCAGGCCGCCATTTCCCCACCCACATGGGAGAGCCTCCCCTCCCCAGACCGCTCTCCCAGTTTCTCTAGATCATTCTGCGCCCTGCTGCCGTCCTCCAGCATTCCGGGATAACCCTTCCCGTACAAAGAAAGAGTAATTTTTTTTTTTTTTTTTTTTTTTTTGCGGCCGCCGTGTCGTGGGCCCTTCCTGCCCGCGGCCGCGCCGGTACCGGGACTCGAACCCCAGGCCGCCGGCTCAGCGACGCCCCGCCGCCCTGCTCCGCCAGCGGCGGAGGTTTGTCCGCCGCGGGCCGCCGTCTGCCGGCGGTGCGCTGCCGTGCGGGTCCGGGCGGGTACAGCGGCCGCGGGAGCAGGAGGAGCCGGCCGCGCGTGTCGCCCGCTCGCCCCCGTCACCCGCCCCGCCATGAGCGAGAAGGGCGAGCTGGACCTCACCGGGGCCAAGCAGAACACGGGCATGTGGCTGGTGAAGGTGAGAAGTCGCCGGCTCTCCTCCGGGCCCGGCCCGGCCGCGGCCTGTGGCGGCCGGGCCTCCCCCTCCCCGTCCCAGCCCCGCCGTGCGTGGGGCGGCGGCGGCCGGTGGGTCCCGCGGAGGAGACTGAGGCGTGGGGGGAGTCGGCCCGCGGCGTGGGGCCGGGGTTGCCCGCGGCAGGCTTCCCCGGTGCCCCTTCTCCCCCCCACACCCGTGTCCCTTCACGTGGGCGCGGGTGGTAAGCGGGACCCCGCAGGGAAAATTGGGTTACCCGGGATCAGCCCTTCCGCCCTGCTTTATTCGGGGCAGCAAAGTCTGGTAGCTTTTATTCCCCCCAAACTCAGAGCCGGGGAAAGTTTGAGCGCTCCCAAGTTGGTTAAAAAAACCCAAAACAAAACAGGGAGAATAAGCGCCTGTGTCTTGTCACGACAGCTCGCCTCGGTTCTGGAGAAACGCGGCTATAGTGAAGGTGCTACGAAAAGATATGAAGATCATCAAATCAAAGCCGAATACCTGTCTGGTGCAGGGCCGCCCTCGCGTCTGCTGCTGCCAACGAGGCCGCTGCTGCCTGCGGATCAGCTCTCTGCTCCAAAGGGCCGTTCTGTCGAGATGGCTTGGCTGCTTCTGCTGGCAGCAGCAAGCAGCGGTTTAGGAAAGAGGGGACCCACAGTCAGTGGGGGAATATGTGCCCTGGCCCCTTTCTGGTCCCCCGTGGATGTGCCCCTGTTTTTCTAGATCTGTATTTGCTCTGTCTGGGGAGAAATAGCAGCCTCCTCCTTTGGGGACAGAAGGAACAGAATCCAGCCATCAACTTGAGAGAACCTGTGGGGACAGGGTAGTACCCAAATACTAGTCCTGGGTGGTGAGTGGGTGTGACACAATTGTGCTTCAACTGCCAAAACATCTTACTGTGGCCCTCGACAGTGGTGGGGAATTTCAGACTTGTTTTGCTGTGCAGAATTTCTGGTGGTGGGGAGGTCGCCGCATCTGGCTTCCTCTTTCCTACTGACACCTGTGTGTCTGGTTTCATGAAACCATAATGAACAGTGCATAGTGCTCGAATTGTAATAGCTTATCCAGGACAATAAAAATGAAGGCTGACAGCAGAAAGCTGCAGAAGTATGTGATGATGTACTGAGTGACAGAGAGATAAAATGGCAGATGAAATTGAGAGTTGAAAAATCTAATCAGACATGCATAGAGAAAAGCTATCCTAATTATATGTCCACAGCAATTGGGTCTCTGCTGGTTGTCATTCAGGAGGAGGTTTAGGTTTTCAGTAGACGTGGATAACTCAGAATGTCATATCAAATGAGCAGATTCAACATTGGGCATGACTACAAAAGATACGGCGAACAAAAGAGAAAGTATCATTGTGCCTTCATATTGCCTGTATCCTGAATACTGTGTGTAGTTCTGGTCTCATCTACCTCATCATGGCAAGTATACAGTGGACCTAAAAACAGTATGGAGGAGAGCACCAGGGGTGATTTGGGGAACAAAGAATGCTGGCTGTGGAGGGAGCTCCTAAATACGTTGTTACCTTTCAGTCTGGCAATTTTGGAAACCTTAACAGCGGTCTGAAGTAATGAGTAATGTCACAGGTGGATAAGGAAGAAGTGAATAGGCAGAAGTAAACAGGGAAGAGTCAGTTTGAACAGGAAAATTAAGAGTGTGTCATATTAATTCATCTGATGGGTCTTAGAGCAGACAAAGCAAGTACCTTTTCACACAATATGTAGTTAAATTTTGGAACTTGTTGCAAAGGGAATTTGTGAATGTCAAAACTTTGCAGAAGCTCAAAAAGCCATTAGACAAATTCAGGCAAGAAAATAAGATTGAAAGGTTAAAAATTAATATGCTTCCACACCCCAAGACTACTGAGTAAAAGATCCTAAAAGTTAGAAGAGCGTGCCAGGGAAATACTTTTTCTTGTTATGTTCTGTTCTCATGAAGTATCCACTGTTGGCTGCATTTGGAGACAGGACACTGAACTTGCTTGCCCCTTAGTCTGATACAGTTTGGAGTTTCTTAAAGCAAGCTAGGAATTTTCAGTCACTTTTCCAGTGCTTACAGTTGGTGCCACTATGTGAGCATGGAGTGCTGCCTGGTTTAATGAGAAAACCAGACCAAAAGGAATGCTTAAATATTACTCTTCCAAGTAAGTGTTAGTGTAGTCCTTCATGTATATGGTTTGAACTTATAATTTGTCTGTCTTCTTGAATAGTAATGATAATTAAAAAAATATTGCAAGGTTCCTAGCATTGATAGACCATAGCAAGGGATGTGCAGAATTTTGTCCTTTGAATTCCTTCATACCTGAACTTGGAAACAGCCATCTGTATTACTAGGACCTTCAACACACTCAGAGGCATGACAGTGTGTAGCACCTGCACTTTTTATCTTCACTAGCTAGGATAATGAGGCTGAATTTATCCTTCCTTTGAGGGAGAGAGCAATCTATTCTGCTGGAATAAAAAACGTGGCTTATTTAATTTCCTTTTAGCATGTATTATGCTAGTGCAGGAAGTATTCCAGAAAGACTGCTTAACAGGCAATAAAAAAATGTAGTGATGAGTATTTTAGAAACATGAGCAGTAAGAGGAGGTACCAGAAATCAAGTGAGTCGCTTTACTACAAACCCAGAAAGCAACTGGAATAATTTTTTCTGTTTTCAGTGAAAGCTAAGATTGGGAAATATCGTAAGAACTGTTGGTTATGAACTCATGGTGAAGTCAAACCCATTTTGTGTTAGCCATTAGAATTGTTAATTTCTTGTTCAGTGTGGTGCTTTTTTTTTTTTTTTTTTTAATTTAATCTCCTGCATTCATCTATATTTAGAAAGATGGTATCTTTATATAATTTCTTTTTCGTATGCTCAAAGGAGAGCAAAAACATAGAACCTGACATCAGCCTTACTCAGTTCTGATGTACGTACTGCATACAGATTGCTATACAGAGAATGAGCTAATTTAATTTCATACAGAAAATTGAAAGTAGTTTGTTACAGATGGGGACTGCTTGTGTGTTTTGTTCTAAAGGCAGATAGGACGCTGTGAATAAGCTGAAAGATGCGTGGAGCAGGGGCCCTCGTGTCATACAGTAGCTGCAGGGTGCCTCGTGTACTGGAGCCTGGATGTTTGTGTGACGTGAGTAGCAAGAAGAAAACAGTGGTGTGAAGAGGTCTTAAAGTGATGCTACTTAGTATGTCAGATTTCTTCTCGTGATTAAATTATATGGTTTTTTTTTGAGAGGGGAGTGTTCTTACGTACAAATCCCAGAATCAAGGCCACTTGCCTTGAAAATGTTCAGTGGCCTTTCAGTATGGCAGGTACTCTGCCCACAAGTCAGTCTTTTTGTGGGTATGTATTTTTCAAAATCCTGCTGTGGGATCTTTGAAAATTCTTTCTGCTCTGTAAAAGCAGGTCAGTCTTGTTTTCTGTACGTTCTTTCAAACCGTGTTAAGAGCTTGAAAACTGGCTCTTCTCCATAAGTTAAACTGTTATTATTCTAAAGTTGAAAGAAAGCAGCAAATTATGATGTCTACAATGTATAAGACTTTTTTTTCATCTTTCCTGGGATTGTTTATGCCATTAGCATGGAGCTACAGTTTAGCACGTGGTTTTGAGAATACCATCTGGTTTTATCTGAAGTATCTGTGTATAGCTAGAAGTAATCCTTTGATCACAGTCCTTCATAACCTTTTTTCTTTCTCTGCATAGCCCTTGACAGCAGATAGGCCAGCAGAAAGATGATTAATTACACTCTTTGGGACTGTTTGCCATGCAGCTGAAAGAAGTATGATTGATCTGCAACCTCTTAATCTGAATAAATTCCCTGTCTGATTGTATTATATAGCAAGTCCTTCACTCCTTGTCCACTCATACTGAATGCACGTCTACCTTATTTCCTGGCAATATAAATCAGATACAGATTAGGTGCAAGCACATAATAAAATTTCTGCTGAGTCAGCTGGGGCACATGTCATAGCATTTATCTTGGCTTTAGAAAGAAAATGATATCTGATCTGGCATGAAATCCACTGCAGAAAATTACTGCTTTGAAAACTGTAGAAAAAAGATATATCAATAGATATATTTATGGCTTTTTGTTGTGCATTTGTGGCATTTTTGACCCAGTGTTAGGACTTTATGGAAACCCGGACTGACATTTAGTTTGACTGAGCAGTTGGAGGTAATCTGGATTTTGTAGTTATTCCACTGTACTTCATGGGGTGCTGTGAGACTAAATGGGAGTGCTGAGAACCAGTACCAAGATGTTTTCTGTTTTTTTTTTTTTTTTTGAAAAACAAGTAAATGCAAGGTTAATGTTAAATTCATTTGAGCTTTAGGAAGTTAGCAGGTTGCTGTGTGTCAGCAAGTTCCTGGAACAAGCTCTTCAGCTCCTCAGCTATGCAGTGAAACTTGGTTTAGTTTTATTCTCTGCACGAGAAGAATCAGACTACAAAGAGCCTCTTTGCTGATGAAACAGAAGATGCCACGGGCGTAGCTTAGTACGTTTCTCACTGGCTATGTCTCACACCATTTTTCTGCGTGGGCACAGATGTTTTCAGTAGCTGTGGACTGTGTGAGCCAGAATAAACTTTGCTGTACCAGTAAAGAACATTGCTGCAACATTAAAGAATGTAGATTTGTCCTGATGTGTCATGAGCATATGAAGAAAAAAGATATAAAATTCTGGTATCGGAGTACTTCTTTAGTATGTGGTGTTGGAACAGTAGATGATGTTTTGTTTAACAAGTCACTGTTTTGCTAGACACAGAGGCTACTGTAGGTCTTTCAGATGATGTTCTCTCTGCTGCACCCTTATTAGAAAGAAAGGGGTTTATAAGAAGTAGTAGCTTCTATTGGACTGCTTTCAGCTATTTCCTTTTGAAAAAATCTGTAACTTCCGTATCACTTGAACATCTTACAGTTAGTTTTAAATAGTCAGATATGAGATTGTCCTTATTGCCTCAGGTCTGTATTCCATCTCTTGATGTGCCATACTTCTAAACCCAGTGGCTTTTACGTATGGGGGACATTGCTCCAATCTTACATTTGTTGTACTACTGTGTTATGTTCAGTCTTTATAAAAACCATCATAGAAAAAACAGTCGTAATTGCTGAATGGTGGGGAAAAAACCCTGTGATCTGGAAAACATTGCAGTCTGTCCTTATAGCTGATTGTGCTGGCTTCTTGGAAGAAAAGGTAGACAAGGCTAGAGCTGATGCCATGTGGTGGAGCAGAGAAGGTGGAGAACTTCCTCATTCCTCTGGGGCTAAACTGAGAAGCTGGAAGTGCCTCGGCAGGGGTGGATGGATGCACGGACACACGGGTCGAGCTGGGAGCTCCTCTGTGGGGCAGGGCAGTGGCAGCCACTGGTGCTTGCCACCTTTTGAAGTCCTGGGGAACTGTGTGCTCATACAAGTGTTCAGGTTTATAGGTGTTCATCAGCGATAGCACCATATATCAAAACAAACAACCTTTTGACTTCACAGGATAAATGTTTGTCATCGTGAAGCTTGCCTGGTCTTTAAGGAGAACTGGGGTAACTCTGCTGAGCACTGGACACATTCTCCTGGCATTACTATCTCCAGAAAAAATAGAAGTGCTGTTGCTATTGCACACAGATGTGCATACATCGTGACATATGGGACACATCTGGGAGTCTGAGGAGCATGGGCGTGCGGCACAGTGGCAGCAGCAAGGTGTTGAGACTGGCCGTGGAAGTGCCAGCTGTTGGGGTCTAGTTTACCCGGCAGTAGTTAGCTGGTATTTTTTTGGCCAGCTAGTAAAGAGGTGGGCTGTGATTTCAGCTAACACTACACTGATGGGAAAAGAGGTAAAATGGGATCCTCTCGGAAAGCCAGCTTCCAGGTTCTTGGTTGGTTATGTAGGTGCCTTTACCATCCGTCATGAGCCTGGGTCACCCAATGCTGCAGATACAAAAACCTTTGTAACTAAAGGAACGTGTGTAGGTGAGTCAGCATCACTGGATCAGCTTTTACTCCTTGGATTATTGGGTTAAGCAGGGCTGCTTGTTCCTGACCTGGACTGACCTCTGCTTTGTGCAGCTCTTCGGTAGCTGCGTTGGTGAGCGAGTTGGTTTGTTCCACCCACTAAATACAAAATCAGCAGTGCTAAAATACAGAAGTCCCCCACAACTCCAAGCCAGATCAGTCTGCTCTTTCTGTATACTGACCAGCTTCACAAAGACTTTTCACAATACAGCGGAGGGGTGGAAATGAGTGATGGGAGGCAGATCTGCCTAGGTTAGTTCTGCCGTTGGAGAAGTGGACATCTGGTGGGAGTAGGGCTGTGGTTTGCTGCTCAGTGTGTCTGAGGTTCCCAAACTCTAAGCTTTCCTTTCGCAGCACCTTTTGGTCTCTGAGTTGTAAGTGCCTTACTTCTTATCATTGTGGTTGGTTGGTTGTTGTTTTTTTTTTTTTTTTTTCCTAGAGAGATTATAATTTCTAATGAATTTTTGAAAGTATAGTTTTGCCTCATAGAATTATTGGGCCTCCTTTGTTTAAGAATATGATGCTGATCTTATTTTGCCTTTCATGATTGGATAATAGTATTTGAGATTCAAGATATTATTTTTCCTGCATTTGGGAAATTTGGAACTCTACATCAGCGTTAATTTTGTGCTACATTATTCTCTTTGCTCACCCTAACAGAATATATATCTAACAGCTTGAGAAGCGGGCCCGTGTGAACCTCATGAGGTTCAACAAGGTCAAGTGCAAGGTCCTGCCCATGGGTTGAGGCAACAACCCCTGGTATCAATACAGGCTGGGGGATAAAGGGATTGAGAGCAGCCCTGAGGGGAAGGATGTGGGGGTACTGGTGGATGAAAAGCTGGACATGAGCCGGCAGTGTGCGCTCACAGCTCAGAAAGCCAACCGTGTCCTGGGCTGCATCAAAATCAGCACGGCCAGCAGGTCGAGGGAGGGGATTCTCCCCGTTGACACTGCTCTTCTGACACCTCACCTGCAGTGCTGGGTCCAGCTCTGGGGCCCCCAGTGTAAGAAGGACATGGACCTGCTTGAGTAGTTCCAGAGGAGGCCACGAAGATGGTTGGGGGGCTGGAGCAGCTCCCCTGGGAGGCCGGGCTGAGAGAGTTGGGGGGGTTCAGCCTGGAGAGGAGAAGGCTCCGGGGAGACCTTATGGTGGCCTTCCAGTGCTTAAAGGGACCTTATAAGAAAGATGGGGACAGACCTTTTAGTAGGGCCTGTAGCAACACGACAAGGGGTAATGGTTTTAGACTAAAGGAAAATAGATTCAGACTATACGTAAGGAAGAAATTTTTTATGATGAGAGTGTTGAAACACTGGAACAGATTGCCCAGAGAAGTTGTGGCTGCCCCCTCCCTGGAAGCATTCGAGGTCAGGCTGGGTGAAGCTCAGAGCAGCCTGATGTAGTGGAAGGTGTCCCTGCTCATTGCAGGGGGCACAGGACTAGATGACCTTTAAAGGTCCCTTCCAACCCAAGCCAGTCTATGGTTCTATATTGTCTGCCGTATTTAGCTCATACTGTATTCTGAAGTGGTCAGGGTAAAAACTTTTAAAGTATATACACATACATAATTTATATAGAGTTTTAAAATCTGTTTTTCTTGAAATCTGTCACCTTTTCTTAGGTCCCCAAGTACTTGTCACAACAGTGGAATAAAGCTTCAGGAAGAGGCGAAGTGGGAAAACTAAGGATTGCCAAGTAAGCCTTTACTGTACCTTTATTGGTTGCAATTCTTAGAAGTTATCTGCAGTAGAATAGATTATGTTGCACCGTTTATGATACATAATCCTGTTTCTTGAAAACATTGTGCATATTTCTCTGATACATGAATGGTACTTGTTTGTATAGTGAGTATGAATGTAAATCATGAAATTACACTGGGGAGTGGATTTATCCCGTTACATGATGTTTGATTTCTTAAATGCAAGAAATATGCACATCTAACTGTAGAATGTTCTTTAACTTTTGCTATTTTGCTGCTTCTGTTCTCACCTGCTGACTTTTCCCATTTATTCTTGGGCATCAGCATAAATTTGAGCAGCTCAGGAGTAAAAATGAATAACAAAACTAGAATTTGAATTTGCTGTTTTATCAGAGAAACTAAACTTGTGGAATTAGATTATGGAAACTAAAACATTAAATATTTTCTTTTGCAGAAATCAAGGAAGAACAGAAGTAAGTAATTACTAAATACAAAGGCTGTGAATGTGTTACATTTTGAATTCTAAGAACTGTTTAGAACATGCTGGTTTCTAATGTCACATCTTTTTTGTTACATCTGTAATGAAACATTGTACCACAGAATCAGGAGGAGAGAATTCTGTTCATAGCTCTGCCCATAGATTTACCATGGGACTTTCATCAGGTCTCTTTGTTCCCTAAGTTTGTTTACTTCACCTGAAAGCAGCAATCAAAGTAGCGACCTTCTCTAAATATTTTGAGATGTGTTAGTGCAAAGGGCTGTCTGAGAACTAAGGAGGATGATGATAAAGCAAAACACGTTGGAGTTGGAGGGTTGCAATTTCAGAAAATATTCTGTCTTATATTTGGAATTTGGTCCTATGAAATAGAAAGCAACTTGAAGATTTTTCTTTACGCAAAGGTAACAGCTTTTTTTTAGCAGCCTCAGTAAATTATAGTAACTTCCCGTATCTTTTACAGGAGATGAGGGAAGTTGCATTAGTTAGAATTAATTCAAATACCATGTAGGTCTGTCACTGAAGTGGAAGAAACAGTGGACAAAAAGACAGCAAGGAGGCAAGCTCCATTTGCCATTTGATAACCTGGCCAAGCTCCTTTTAGAGTAAGTGGAGAGAGTTCTACTGGAGGTTTGGATGTTTGATTGGATTCTCCTAGGCTGGAATACAAGCCAACCTCCTTAATTTTGTTAGCCCGACACCAAAATCTTGATATTGATGAGAGCCACAAAGCTCATTTTGCAGTCTGTCTAGAGCCAAGTGGTGAGGAACCCCCTGAGAACGGGTGACTTCCCGGGGACCTTACTGCTGCATGGCAGAATGAGGCCAAGCAGGACGTACAGGAAAAGCACACAGTGCTGGTCTGAAATAGCCCTCTTCAGGTTTCTTGATGTGTCCTGCAGTTAGGGGTTCTGGCCACCCAGTCCTCCCAGTACCTCCTCAGCTCCTCTATTGAACATACAATGTAAACATAGCAAAGGAGCCGTATTTGAACCTCTCCTGGGCTACGTGCAACTGAGGAGTCCCCGGGCTAGTAACACTTGTCGTGGTACATTAGCACTTTTTCTGGAACTCGGCTGGCTGTGTGAAACATTTTAAAGCCCTCATGCTGAACAGTGTCTGAAAACCTATTATGCCTTACGTTTTAATAAGTAAAATCGAATCTTTCTCTGACTTCAGGAGGAAGTAATTTACAATCTTTTAAAAGATGAGTAAATTTTATTAAGTACATGAAAGCTTTGGATTATATATTTCAACAAGAGATCAATATAGTAAGACTCTTATCCCACTCAATGTTTTTGAAATGAAAATGTCGTATACTACTTGTGTTTTCTCTCTTTTTGTTTCCCCATAACTTGTAAATCTGTGTAACTGGGTCTGTTTAGTAACACTGTGGTAATTGTGACTGTTAGGTGTCATTTACTTTGAATGAAGAGCTTGCAAGCATCAATGATATTGGAGGAAAACCTGCTTCAGTCAGTGCACCAAGGGAACATCCATTTCTTTTGCAAAGTGTGGGAGGACAGACCTTAACAGTTTTCACAGAAAGTTCAGTAGGTAAGTTAGAATTAAAGTTACTTGTTATGATTCCAGTGTATATCATTTCAATAAACAGAGTGCTGTAAAGGCCAGAAGACTCAGAAATCAGATTTTTGTCTCTGTTTTGTTGTTATCTGCATACATAAAGCTGTTGTACTCTTTTTTTTTTGTGTCTGTCTCTCTTCTTCGTATGATTGAGCAACTAATATAAGTTCTCCACATGGGGTTATCGTGTATATTTCAGCTGTGGGTCTGCTGAAGAGAACAGAGAGAGCATGGAGTGCGGTACACTGTGTATTCCCCTTTAGGGTTTTCACTGGAAAAAATGTTCTTGTGTTCCCATGTGCTTTTGGGATCAACTAATATATTTTCTTTCTCTTTGAATTGGTCTCTGCTGTGAGAATGCCGATTCTTCCTCTGTCCAGTTGAACAGATGCATTTTAGCAATAAATCCATCTGTTAATCACATTTTCTTTAAGTCTATATGGTTTAAGTGTACTAAAGCTTAATAAGGTCATAACACCAAACAGTGCAGCCATAAGGTTGTAATTTTTCTCACTGGATTTCACCTGTTTGGCCTGCCTTAAGTTCAGCTCAGTAGCTGTATGAGTGATTAGGGTATTGAAGACCATATGTCCTAACTTGCATGTTAGACTTAAGGGACATAGTAGTGTCACAATGTACAGTAAGTTCGCAGACTGCCTTGCATGGAACTCTCGTGTGCTGTAAGGTTTTTACTAAAATTACATGGTTGTGTTCTGGATGTTAGAGAAGGAAGGTGTCTGCAGAGCGTATCTCGTTGTCTGCAGAAAGTGTCTCAGTTTCAGGCACTGAAGACAAATAATAATCCCCAGAAGACAAATAGTAGTAATATTGTTTGATACTCCTGCCTTCTGTGGGGCAGAAAACTACAGCATGACCAGCTTCTGATGTTTTGATGTTCATAGGCTGGCAAGTATTTGCTGTGATGGCAGTGTGATGCTTTATTAAATAAATAAAGGAGGGAGAATTTTAACTCACAGGACAGAGTTAGAATATTTAGTAAGTTTGATCACCTCCTTTTAAAAACCTATTTTAAAGATTTAATGGCTGAGCATTGAGATATTAAGGCACAGGTAGCATGGCTGTCTCAGTTATATTTAGAAATACAGGCTCTTATGCTACAACTCGGGCACTTCTCATTTGTTTTTACTTTCTCTGAAACTAATGTAATCGTGTTATTGGTTTTTCACTTAAAAAAAAAATTGAATTTTCATGTGTATGACTTGTAACACTTTAAAATGATTTATATTTAAAATGATTTATAATTCATAGATTACAAATGTGGAAAGAGATAGGGAGCGAGTTTTCAAGAATGTTGCAGGCATTTTAGTAGTACCTCATGCTTTTTTTTTTGTTTCTCTGTGCCACAACCTCAGAATGCTTGACAAAAGAGAGCGATTTCAGGTGTGAAGCTGTGCTTAGAGTATACGTTTAATGACTTTTGCATATTTGGTGTAAATCCCATGGGATTTTGGTTCCCAAGACACCTTTTGATACAAAGTATTGCTTCAAAAACCTCAAATGTTAACTTAAGCTTCAGTGGGTGCTAATACTTAACTTAAATGTGGAGTATTTGTCATCAGTTAGAATGAAAGTCCTTAGAATGTGATAGCTAGAAGCTGCCCATTTATTTCTGTTTTGCCATCTGTAATACCAGTGTCTAGAAACCTTTAGGTACTTAGAAGCTGTCCAATTTTTATTTAATCAATTAAAAAATTTGCATTTCTTAGCAACTAGAAAATATTTTAGGACCATGGATCTATTGAGTAGAAGTTTTTATATTAATCAGGAGCAAAGGGTAGTTAGGGAAATGAGAAATGTTTGGAATGAAGCACTGAATAAGCACAGACCCTGTCAGAATAGTTTTTGCTTGATATTAGCAAGTATAACATGCAGTCAGTGAATTTTCATGAAACTTGCATAAATGCAAAATGGCTAAAATGTGTTGCTGTTGTTTTAAAGCCGGCGTTGGCAGTACAATCAAAAATAAACTTTAATGTGCTTTTCGTGCATTACTTTTTTTGGTTATAAAGATGAATGTGACACAAATATTCCAAATTCCAGTCAGGTTTCTTGCAGATACCATGTTCCTGCAGCCACACTCTTGTGTTTAAATGTGTATCGCCAATATGTTTTGAGCTCCACGGCCAATTTCAACAAATTTTGTAGTGAATTATGGCTAGTGTGAAAACAGGTGTCTGAAGAGTGGAACGAAACTATATGGATATCCCAACTGAAAGAAAGGCTGTTACCCTATTTGATGCCAGAAAGTCCACATGGAAAAAAACACTAATTATATCAACCATGGAGAAAGACTCAATAAAAACATACACATCTTTACACATCAGTCAATCCGCAGTAAGAGTCATAGAAAACTGAAATGTATTCATTCTTATGTTCACAGACCAGTATTTGTCTTCAGATTATAATTAGCATATTTTTGTGAAAAGCACTGGTGATCTTGTTCCTTTTTCTTCTGCGAAGTGCACCACGTGACAGAATCAATGTGCCAGTTTGAACCGTGGGCCAAAGATTAAGCTGGTATGGAACTGCAGATGGCATTGCTAATGTTGCATCTGGAAGGATGCGTTTGAGGAATTATGCAAGTGAAATATGGATAAAAAAGTCTTTAATGCACTATTGCTTTCAGCCAATACCCTTCTTGAGGACTGAATTTACCTAAAATGTAGCAAATGGCATAAAACAGTTGCGTTTCTTTTGAAAAGGGTGGGGTTTTTTTGCTTGTGGGTTTGGTGTTTTGTTTTGTTTTGTTTTGTTTTTCTGGTTATTGGGAGCACATTAACAGCCCTAAGATCTATTCTGTGTGCTGTCCTCTAATCCTGGGATCCGTATGTTCTAGTGACCATTTTTCTGATGGTCTTTCAGAAAATGAATGAGGGATGACAAAGCTGCCTCTGAAATATTTTGTAATATTGGAAGATGCTGCAAGGGAGTTTACATATTCTGGATAATTCAGCACTTCACATTGACTTGTCAGGTCACTTAGAGCAAGTGAAAGACATCAAATTTGACAAGTAATTTAATATTTTCTGCATGATGTAATTTCTAGACTTCTGAGTGGATTTTCTGTGGGTTTTGTTTTGTGTTAACTGAACTTATATATGAACTGAGCTAATATAAAGCTGTATAAAGTGGATCCCATCCCAGATCCCATTAAAAATCTGGTCTATGCTGGCTTTCACACATGGTGCACTTTCTGTTTAGACTATCTCTGGAGTTTTTCCTGTTTCTTTTCTCTTTCTGTATTTTGAAATAGCTCTAATGAAGAATACAGAGTAGTACAATGCACTCCAAAAGTAGTAGCTGCAAAATATCTCCTTTCTTCATTTGCAAGGCTGCTTGCACATGTGAGACATTGCATTGTTTTCATTGCTGGGCAAATCACTAAGACCTGTGGTGGTGTTCCTGAACATCAGTTTATCAAAATTGCCGGGAAGTGTGGCTTCTCTGATGACTGCAGAGAGATCCAAAGCACAGTTGTCTCTTCTGTCTAGGTCTTGCTGTCTAGGCTGGTTTCAGTATTATTTCTGCATTAAATATGAACTACATTCTGTTCCATAAACATCACCATATGTACATCAACAGTTGCTATGCAACAATGCTATTTGTGCTTCCAGTCATTTTATCTTATCTTTGTCATCAGCTATCATAGTTGTAATTTTTTGGGCGGGAGGAAAGGAGAGCATTTTACATACATTTCAATGTGTTGTACTGAACAAAATGTGTTTTTCTTATGTGTGTATAGCCAGGGAACTGTCTAGGGGCAAGTCATGGGTTTGATGTGTTTGATTAAAATTGTTTTTTTCTGAGCTTCCTACTGGCAGACACCCTGGCATAAAGAAGTGCTATAATTTGACAATTTCTTGGTTGAAGGAATGGGAACATGCTTTGTTAAACATTTAACAGTGAACTTTTCTGATTGTGATTATAAATTAATTCCCTTACTGTTTTAATTGCCTGTTGCTTAATTTTTCTGCCAGCAGGTAGTTTAGGGATGCTGGCTCAAAATATAAATAAAAAATAAATCGATGTTGTAGATAATGATAAAGCTTTCTTACTGAGCTAGTTCTTGGGAAAATGTGCTACTAATGTGACTTGGGAAAACACAGACCTTGGCAGGCAACAGCGTCCCTAACTGTAAAGGACTGATGAGTGGGGAGGAAGATTTTACACTGTAGGCACAAATAAAGTACATTTCTGTAAAGTTGGGTGAGATGACTCATTTTATTGAAATTTTGACTACATCTTCACAACTCCCCCTTCATAAGCGGAGTTGCCTTAATGCCTATTTTAATGACTTAAATTCCTTCATGCTTGTTCCATCTTACTGAAAGTAAAAAGTGTTCAGAGAATTCCATTGACAGAATGACTACCAGACCTTTGTTTCTGAGCAGCATTCATGCATGGATTGTTCCACTGTTTCATGCTTCACAGAAGATTGCTGGCTCTTAACAGTGCATTCTGTAGTTTTCCGAGTCTTCTCGTCTTTCAAAATCTCAGCTCATGAAATTCAATTTTTTTTATGTTCCTGTTCAATAATACATATAACTCTTGCTTATGAACCTTAGAGCAGCTCCTTTATTCCCACACCCCTTGAATATCCTTCCCTTGTTTTGGGTTGTGTTTTTTTTCCTTTATACAGCTTCTCATATATGAAAGGACCTTTTCTGAGGTTGCACGTGAATCATGCCTACTATATAACTTACAATGCGTGATTGTATTCCAGTGAAAATGAATAGTCAGAGATTTGTATTCTGTATTTTGTATATTGGTATTTTGAATTATCGGATATATCCCGCCATTTAAAGAAATGTGAAGAGAAGAGACGCTAAAAAGAATCCTGGAAAGATGTTTCTTTCTTTCTTTCATTAAAGCCATTACTCCTATAATTACATTTAATTATTTCCAGTGAAATACGTAGTGCTCAGAATCTTGATGCCTTGTGATACGACTAATCTTATTAGATGTGTGTTTGACTTCTCAAATTTTTCATCAAATTCTTATTTAGGAAATAAATGCCCTCCCCCATCATTCTGCCATCTTAGCTCTTAGCTCTGCCTACTGAGGAGTTTTGATGTATACCTGTCCACTTTAACAGTAATTTCAAGTTGTCTCTATTTCTTCAGGCTGTCACTTAACCACACGTTCCAGTCTCCAAAATGCTTTGGAGTCTTAATGCTTCTTTGTTCCTTTATGTACTTCAGTCTTTCATGGACTGTTAGCAGAAGAGGAAAACCTATCAGCAGCTTCATGATCAAAAGAAACAGAAGCAATAGCAGCCTTTCAGATCTCTGGCATTTATGCAAATATACAAATATTTGTGAGGATCATAAAGAAGATGTAACCCATGATCAGAAAAGCAGAATATGTGACTCAAGCTAGTCTAATTACAGACGGCATTTTGATGGGTCAAGATTTCATATGTATTACTGCTACACATGGTCCAACGGTTTAGAAACCAACGGTGACTGCTTATATATCATCTCTCTTCTCCATCTCTAAAAAATGGAAATTATATTTACTTCATATGAGTGTTGTGAGGATTAACAAATTACTGTAAAGTGGGTTCAGCTGGCTGGCAGGGGTAAGATCCTAATTTTCTTTTCATTTTTGTTATTAAGGCTATAGGCTGTACAAACACTGTACATACTTAAACAATTGAGGATATAATGCACAAAAAACATGGTAGGTTAGAATGGGCTCAGTGTGATGGAAATAGAATTGGCTTTCTGTCCACTTAATTGACTTAAAATGTCTTTTTTTTTTTTAATCTCACTGATGTATGTGTAAAAAAAAAAACAAAACAAAACAACCCAACACCCACCCCCCCTCAAAAAAAAAAAAAAAAACCCCAAACAGAAAAATCCAAACCAACCAACCCCAACCTGTTGACATTTGTCTGTGAATCTTGCATGTGGTGGAGGAGGCTGAGCAGCTGTAGTCTGCATTGATAAAATACATTGAGTAGACATAGTGCAACTTCCTTTACCTTCTTCATGATTGTACTGAGAAGAATTTTAAAGCAGAGACATGACCTAATCATAACAAAAAGAAACTGTCTAATAATGAGAAAAAAACCACCACTTTTTTGCAAGGCTTGAATGTTGTCTGTTTTTTTTGTCTCTGCTGCTGAAGGCAGATTCTGTTGATACATAGAAGCAAACACACACATTCTCCCTGCAGACATGATCCATGTTTATTGTTATTTGAATCAAAGATGCTATTAACAATTTTGAAGTGTTATGTCTTAGGCAGTAGTTTTGACTAGGTAGATAGCCTTTCACTGAAACAGAGTTTGAGAGAAACAGCTTTAAATCCTGCTGCTTCTTACGTCTCAGACCAGGTGGGGGTTGATATCTTAGTATGTTTGCACGTTCTTTGTTACATCCTCTTTGCTTCTTGTGTGTGTACTGGATGTTTCCTTAATTAAGTTACAATTCAGTTAAGAGTATTGTTTGGGTAATAACATTATGCCGTAAATGTGCTAAATACACACAAAAGATGTCAATGAGAAAAGACATGGGTTTTGGCAAACAGGCTATCCTGCATTTATATCTGAAAGTTGACAGGGATCTTAACTGACTTTGTGAATTCTCACGGGCAGGAAGAGGCCATATAATGATGTTTTGTCGTTGAGAAGGCATTTGCCTTCAGCTGCTGAGACTAATGACAGCTACCAGTAAAGAAGGATCTGTGACATAACGCTTTTTCCATTTGCATTAGTCCTCAGGCTGTTAGCCATCTTAATGAGAAAACAGGGCCATCAGCCATGAAAGCCAGCAAGAATCAGTTATAAGAAGGAGGTTTTGTAAAATTTTTCCTGTTTTCAGTTCTGTTAATACCCAGCCTGTAAATGACAGAAATGATCAAACTAACTGAACTCAAAAATTATTCTGAGTTAGAGCAGTAATTCACTCTCACCTATAAGTAAATAGTCTGTAATGATAGCTGTGACATGTCTGAGTTGAAAGCTAAAGACAAGTATATTTTGCCATTTTTAACTGTATTTCAGATAAGTGAAAATGTTCTTTTCATTGTCTACCTTAGAAGATGTGTAAAAAGGAGAAATACAGGAGGAGCAGTCAAATTTCAGGTTGACAAATTTATGTAGGGGTTTAATTTCATAGGACTTGGTAAGTGTTAGAACTCAGTTTACCAAAATACATCTGCCAGCTGCCACTTACTGAAATGTGGGATTGGAATTTCATGCAGAAAGCTGTTTCTGAATCTGACTCTGCCATTCACCCAAGTGATAATTTTTTGGCAAGTCACTTTGCAACACTTGTGTCTAGGTTTTTCCTTCATACATACTTTGATTCTCTGTTCTGTGAAACAGGAGACATTTCTGATTATGTGTATTTTTTGTACCTAACAAGTTGGTCTATAGTACCGTTTGAGGGCCAATGATCAGAAAGGGAAAAGACTGAAGAAATACATTCTTGTGTCATCTGCAGAAAAGGTAGAGGAGAGGTTGATCAAGTTCAAAAATTTACCTAATGCCAATTAAGAGCATTCTTTTGCAGATTTTTTTTTTTTAATATACAAAAATAATATTCATTAGTCTAGGGCGACCAGTGAGATAATGGATGCTATTCATTGCTTAAGCACAATCCTACTACTGATTTTGTATAAATGTGTAACTTTATTCTTGAAGAGCTCAATCAGAGGTGTAATAGAGTTCCCTCATTTAAGTTGTGAGTTTGGGCACGAAAGGAGATTTTTTTGTTGTTGCTCCTGGTGGCAAATTATTTTTCAGAAAGTAAATTTATAAACATTAATCAAACCCAGTGACTGTGATTTTATCATAATTTATAATTCTTTGCTTTGCAACCCACTTTTTAGACATACTTTCAAATAATCAACACAGAAACGTTATGTTTCCTTTTTTGTTCATTTGTATTTTTTTCCAGAAAGCCAACCAGAAGAAAAACCAGAAAGCAGCAGTGCTGGTGAGTATGGACACTTTCTTTGACACGCTTAAGAAATCACTTGTGACTTCAGCTTTTCAGTTTTACTTTTCAAGAAATTGATAGATTACAATAAAAAAAAGTCTTTTTTGTTATATTTCTAGTGTAGAATGTCATAAAATTGAAAAATTACTTCATATATCTGATGCAACCAAAAGCTTAAATTATTATTTTTTTTTAATGAAGGGGAATAAAATAATGAGGGAGAGATTTAGAAATTTAATGTTTCTTGGAACGTTATTTTTGATTTTATTTTATTGCTCAACTTGTTGGTGTTTGTTTTTTTTTTTTTTTTATTAAGTTCATTGTCTGTATTTTTTAGTTTGGATTCTTTCTTCTTGTTTGGAAAGTTTGCAGCAAATTTCCAAAACTTTTGTTATTTGATTATAGTTGCATAGACTAAGCAGTCAGAAAAATAGTGTTCTTGTATTGTACTTCATTCAGTTTTTCTAATGAAAATAAAATTCTTGTGAATGATTTATACATTCTTTGGAAACAGTCAAAAATGGTTAGTTCACTGATATTACTTATCAGTTACATGTTAGTTAGTCCAATGATGTCTTAAGTACAGTTAAAAATTCTAATTTGCTTCTCAAACTGCAATTGCTATAGTAAAAGCTTTCGGGTTTTTTTACACAGTTCAGAGTAGCAAATAAAAGTATTGCCCATTGATTGGTATTTTTTTGTGTGATGGGCAACATACTTATATCAGATAAGATACCAGCCTTAGAAATCTAAAGATTTTTATTTCAGGTCTGAGCTAGTCTGTGCAGGCTTCCTTTACAGCCACTGAAGAGACAGTTCCAGAAAATCTTACTCTCACATAGATATGTGCAAGTTTAATTTTCTAGCAGCTCGAGCAGAGCTTTCTTGAGGCTGTGTATTCCCAGCCTGCACCCTTCTTTTCTGCTAAATCCTTCGGGCTTACATTACTGAAATTCCCAGATAGGTACACGACAGCATGAGACTCTTACAGTGTCAAGTAGGGTTTAATAAAAATCCCCTTTTTTGCTTTTATTAAAGAGATGTTTCAAAAATATCATTAACATAGTAGCGCAAATAAGTGCCAATGTTAGCAAGAGCCTGTGAACCTGGGAAACGAGACACAGCTAATACAAAATATATAGACAAATCTCAGTTTTGTTAGTAGAGGGATTACGTCTGATTAAATAGTACTGGGACTGGGCTGACACTTGTAAGTGGTAATGGCAGAGATAGCTGATGGACTGGAAGGAGTCTCATGCCCTGCCTTTCTTAAAAAGCAATTCCTAAACATAAGACTAATGCTAGTGGGTTTTCAAATATCTTCTTGAAAGTAATTTTTCAGACACTTTAACATGGAGATGTCTGTTTTTTCTAGTACTTAACTTCTGTTTGAATTCCGTTTCAGCATCAAAAGCTGTCAGAAGTGTATACGTTGTGGCTGTCTGGGAGTAGGGTTTGGGTTTGTTGTTTTTTTTTTTTTTTTCAGGGAATTCTTTATAATATTGAGGTGCTTTTTATTATGCTGGTTTAAGCATGTCAAAAGACTAATGTTAGAAATGTTACAGTCTGTAGACATGTACTGAATACAAGGTGTGTTTTATAGCTTGCAGTTTTTCTCAGTTACTCATTAAAACCTGTTCACTGATTATATGTTAATTGTGGTGGTAATTAAGGTTATGAAGGGCTACTTTCTAGAGATTAGTAGTTTATACCACTTGAAAACAGACTCACTGCTGTGGGATGTCGCATGTAAAGCAGATCTTGAGAGTTTAACTGCTAAAATTAATCAGAATTTTGATACTTAACATCGCATTTCTCTGATGTTCTTAAGTTGTAGGGATTCACCCTTGGTTTTGCTTGGCTTTTGGGTTTTTTATTCTGTTCTGGTTTGCCTTTGAATTATTGTATTCTCTGCTCTTCACTCTTGGTGTGTCTCCTCCTTGTTCTGCAAATATTTTGTAAGATGGCCACGTGTTTAGTTGTTTGTATTTTTGCTTCGATCAGAAGAATGAATTCCTGTCTGCCGTGGGCTGTGTAAATATGCTGACGGGTGCTAAACCCATTGGATGTAATCAAGCTGGTTGTAGATTCAGTTTCTGAGTGATGGTAGTTGGTTACACTGGGGCATTTGAAGGAGGACTCACAGCCATCAGTTGTGCTTATTTGCTTATCCACTTTTTTCCTCAAAATCATTGTGAAACTCAGATGACCTTTTCCAAACTACCTCTCAAGTAATTCAGGTTATTGAGTGCTCCATTTTGTGTTAATCTACTTTATCTTGGCTTACAATAAGTACTTTTAAGTCAAAGATGATGTTTTCTATGTATTTATGTAGCATTTTAGCATAACGAGAACCTAATGATTGCTTTTGGGTATTGCTGTAATTAAAATATGAAAGGTTTATTTGTAGTAAGAGAGTAAATAAAGAGGATAGGTGAGATAAATAACATTTAGAAATCCTTTGATTTACATCCTTAAAAAGTTCCCCCACCTTTTTACATTGGGAGAGTACTGCCAATCTTCAGAATTTCTTATGTCATAAATCATTACTATTCTGTATGACATTTTACATCACATATTTTGTTGGGATGGTTGTAAACCACTTACCAAAAGGTGAGATAGGGCCAGTGTTGCTACTTGATACCATTTGGAGAGAGATAAAGGGATACTGGGTCAGACCAAAGATCATCTAGCTGGTGTCCTGTCCTCTGTGGTGGTCACTAACAGATGCCTTGAGAAAAGTGTAAGAACAATGCAGAAGCATAGTGATAACTCCCCCAAATACTTCCAGTCTCCACTGATTCATGGCTCAGAGAGATCCAGAGCCGGGGGTGATGGTGTTGTATTTAACAGGCCCTCGTGGACTTTCCTTCTATGAAGCATCCCTGTTGCTTGAGCCCATGTAAACCTTTAGTATCTGTAATAACTTGAGTGATGCTACGGTTACAGTCAAAATATTCAGGAATCAGGACATATGTGAAACGAGTTTACCTAAACTAAATTTGAGCTCCTGTTGCATATTATAATTTTAGATCACATTTTCTGTACAGAAATCCTATTTGATTAGTTTTTGTGATAAACAGTGCTTGCTGATTTTAGTGCCTGAAGACTGATTTATGTTCAGTGTGAAAGGAACATAGCAAATTACATACTCGGCTAAAGGAAAAGAGAAATGAGAATTGGCTTTGTCTGTTCCTGTATGATGATGAGCAAGTGATTTAAACCCAACTATGTGTGTGTAGCGGCTGTTTGGTTATGGCTTTGCTCACACCTACCTGTAAGTGCTGTCGGTGGTGACAGAAGCTGTGAAAACCAAGCATTTGTGCCAGTTAGTGTGACCTGCTCCCCACCCCTTACCCCACCTCCCTGTTCCAATAAAAATACCCAGAAACTGCTGCCCTGAGCCTGTGTAGTCTGTTGAGAGCGAGATAGTGGAGAAATGCATTCTCATGTAAGAGCAGATGTAATTACGTACTGTCCGCGTGGAAGTGTGTTAAATGAAAGTTGCATGGTCAGCAGTTGATTATAATGTTGGCTAAGCTTTGAGAATGTAGTTTTGAAAGCATAGTGTTGCTTTCTGTGTGTGTGTGTGTGTCAGCTCTGTACACAAGCTACGGATGCATCCTTTTCTTCAAGACTGTTTACATCAGGGAGTGTTCCATGAAACCTACTGGTTGAAATTCCTGAACCTTCTTCAAGCCAAATGAACTCTTGTTGTATCCAAATTTCATCTCTTAAAGTCTTTGATGTAAGTTTATATCAAATAGCAGCCCTCAGTACTTAACATGATTTAGAACAAGGTGGTAGTCATCTCTCTTCCCTAAACCTGCCAGTGAGTAGTACAGGTGCCTTCTAGTGAAGGGAGAGGCACCACTGGGGCCATTACCAGTTTGTCTTTGGTTAAAAGGAATAAATTATCTGAACTGCTGCAGAAAATATAGTGTGAACCTACTGTTAACATTTTGCCAGTTGTGAATGTACATGTTTGACTGCAGACATAAATATACAACACTTGAACTGTCTGTAGATCACACTTGCTTCATTTTTTGATGTTGCAATAAAAAAAATTTAGGTGTTGGTTATACGTGTGTTGGAATATTTGAAATTCAGTGTATGCATTTTGATAAAAAACTGAATGCAGTAAAATCAGCAATTTTTTGCTAAAGACACAAAGTTCTTACATTATGGCACAGGAATGTATAAAACTGCTAAGGGTACATTTGATTTCACACTCTTTAAAGTGATTAACATATATTAATTATACTTCAAAAGTGAAACTCTAACTGAAAAATTATTATCAGGAGGAATAAACCAGTAATTTTTAGTTTAAACACTAGCTCAAAACTCATCGTTGAAGATAGTTATAGAATCTGCCACTTTCAAGACACAGAAACAGTTTTTGTCTTGGAAACCTGACTGGTTTTGTTGGCAGATAAATGCAACAACACTTAAAATATAAGCTTCCCAGTAGTTTTCCAGGAGCCACAATCAGTAATGAGACTCCATTTGTATCTGTTAAAACACACAAAGAAGCAACAATTCCTGCTTTAAGGTATGTGTAATCGAAGTATATCATACTGGTTATAATAAATACTGTGGAGAAACAGGGAAGGTGCACTGGTAGAACAGCAAAAGAGATATGGATTTAATGTAGGTCAACACTAACTGGAGTTAAATTTTTTAAGAACTCGTATAAATGGCCTTAGTTTCCTTAGGGTTTGGCTATTTATTTTAGTATACTGTATGAATATTCTAACATTTATGTTTGCCTGATCAGTGTTGATGTATTTATGGTCATGCAATCTCCATCCTGAGAACAGAGCCCGACATAAAACAGTGGGAGTTAATCCCATGAGCCTATTCTGTCCTTCAGCGACGTCCGTGTCCAGCTTGTTGAAGTATTTTGCTAAGCAGAATCATGCTTTTGGCTCACATCGCCGTTCCTGCTCTTCCTTTGTGACTCTCGAGAAATCCCAGGAATTTCAGTGGTGTCTGGC